CCTGCCGACTTTCTGAAAGAGCAACTTGGGAGTTCCACTCCCTTATCTGTTAACTAAATCATCACATTTTTTTCTTCAAATAATTATTCAATATCCTTTCAATAGCAATGACTGAATTTGCTTCCACCACTTTTTCAGGCAATTGTTTGCAGATCGAAATCACCAAGTAGACAAAAATATTTCAAGTTGCATTTTTTCAGCACTCAATCACCTTAATTTTACGTCCTCTGGTTCTTAGTCAGTCAATTTGGAAAGTTGCTTCCCATCTACTCTGTCCAGACCCCTTAAGATTTGAACACTTCAAACAAATCTCCTCAACTCTTTTTTTAAGAAGTTTTATGGATAGGCTGGAGAAGCTGGGTCTCATCGCTGACAACATTCATTTTGCTTTTCTCCTCTGCCTGCATCTTGGGAACACAGGAGCAGGTATTGTCCAGTCAGCCCATTCAGCCTGCTCTTCCATTTAAAAAGAAATTAAATAGAAATTGGGAAATAGGAGCAAGAAGCCATTCACCCTTTGAGCCTGCTCCATCATTCAATATGGTCATGGCTATCATTCAACTTAGTACCCTGTTCTGTTTCTCTCCGTACCCTTTGATGCCTTTAGCCCAAGCACTATTTAACTTCTTTCTGAAAATCCTCAATGATTTGGCCTCATTACTTTCTGTCACAGAGAATTTCGCATGTTTACTACTCAATAGGATCATGGCTGATCATTTTAATGTTTTTCTCTCCCACATTATCTCCGTATCCCTTTACTTCATGTGTATTTAAAAATACGTGAATCTCGACTTTAAACATACTCAGTGACCGAGTTTCCACTGCCCTGTAGGGTAAAGAATTCCAAAGATCACAATTCTCTGTGTAGAAGTAATTCTACTCATTTTAGTCCAAAGTGGCCTTCCTCATATTCTGAGGTTACCTACCCTGTTCTATACTCCACCAACCAGTGGAAATATCTTACTTGCATCTAAACTGTCTATCCCTTTAAATATTTTCTAAGTTTCAATGAGATCACCTCTCGATCTTAGAAACTCTACTGAACACAGGCCCCACCTTTCCCATTCTCTCTTCATAGGACAGAATTGCCATCCTGGGAACAAACCTGGTGAACCTTTGTTACCCTCCCCTGTGGTAACAGTATCCTTCCTAAGGGGACAAAAACAGCACACAGTACACCACGAATGGTCTAACCAAGATTCTGTACAACTGAAGCAAGGCTTCACTACTCAGGTACTTGAATCCTCTTGCGATAAAGACCAACATAGTCATCCTAACTGTCTACACATTAGCCTTCAAATGACTTATTGACATAAACATGCACAGCCCTCTGTACATCCACACATTTCCTACCATCCAAGAAATAGGCTGCACATCTGTTCTTCTATTCAAAGTGAATAAACTTATACTTTTATTCTGTGAAGTAAATGTTTGTACTAAATGCTTTTCTCCAAAAGTAATCTCTGCAGAAAAGGTTTATTTATTCTTTATGTGCACGTGTGCGTGTGTGCCTGCGCGTGTGCTTATCTAGATGATGCATACTTATACGTTCACATTTCAACTATGTTAATCAACTTTGCATCTTTGTCAACTAAGTCTTGTTTTCATAATAAATCAATAATTTTGTTATTTATTAAAAGAAATCTGATTGATGGACCTTTTTATTCTGAATCTACTACTTTATAAAGTATATAATTGACCATATTAGAAACACTTTTAAATATGTGACCAGTGGAGCAGTGGGAACAGACATGGAGACTGCACTCCTCCAACCTTGGTTGTACTGGTGTCAACTCCTGGTAAGTGCCATATCATCAAATTTTCTATGCAGAAATTAGTATTGATTGACATAATTTTGACTTAATAAGCATTAAAATTCATACTTGAGCACTTGAGGTATGGAGGGAAGTATACATGTGAGAACAAGAGTGAGGCGAAGCAGATGATCTTACATCTTGTACAGCACTGTCTGTGTGTGACGGTCAACTTAAAACATTAGGATTATATTTTAATATCATTGTATAGAAATGATTTTTTCACAGAAAAACACTGTAAACCTCTTTCTTGCTGTGCTTCCTCTAATCGTTCCTATATAATTTAAGATTTTTCATTCAACTTTATCCTAATTTATCATATCACCGTAATAAATTAAATATGTTGAACGTTAACAGTTTATCTTTTTTTTCTATGTGTTGTGAAGAATGTCAGCACAAATCAGTATTAAATGAGCAAATGAAAATTTACGAATTATACTGTAAATCACAGATTTAAAGTAAATGCAAATAATCAGAATAAAACTTTAAAAATGCACAAATTAACTTTGAATATGTTCATTCTTTTAAAGAGAACATGTGATTGTACAAGAAATTTTTAATAATTTTGCCAATTCTTCTGGATAAGCTTTTAAAGAAAATAGTAAAATAGCACAAAAATTAAATTGTGTAATTCAGATATTGACATAGCTACACTTAAGACAATGTAGACTTTTCTGGCATTTAAATCCTAAGTGAAACCAACAAGTTTTAAAACAAAAGCCTGGAGACAGAGGTGAAAATGAATTAAACCTTCAGAAGTTATGAACAGCATTAGTCAATGAGATAATTTTAGACTCGGTGGATTAAAACAATCAATCTTATGATGAAATTTTTTTTAACAACCAAATTGTTAGCGAAGAAATGACCCAGAAATAGTGTTAGCAATTACGTACACTTTAAAAAACAGAAGCGTGCACGCAAAATATTACTTACAGACCTTGTACTAACACAAAAAGATTAGACCAATGATACATTTGAAAATGTGAGCGTGTGGAATACAAGAGTAATAGAGAGATGTACAATACACAGTACCAACATAAACTACATAATTTATAAAAAGGTAAACCTCTAGTTCCTGGATATCTTCATGGAATTGAAAAGAAAGACTCTGATTAGCCAAAATACATTTCTAACTGGTTTTCATGAAACTAAGTTTCTAGGAAAAAGTATTATTCTAACCATCACAGGCTCAGATGGAACACCTATCAAAAGCAGATGCAAAATGCAACAGCTGATAATGAAATTGGCTGATTAAAATATTTCCCAATTCTGCAAAGTAAACTCAATTATAATTTCAAGTGCATTCGCCACATTTAGTTTATTCTTTTCCAAAAACAAAATTGCGCATGTGAATTTTGTCATGCAAGGAATATTATAAGCTGTAACTAGCAACAATAAGTGGGATGTTCAATTTTATGAAATACAATACGATATCCTTTTATTGTCACGTGGCAAGTAACGTGATGAAAAATGTTTAAAATAGAAAATGTTTAAAATGAAAAATAAATAGAAATCCTAGCTACCAGAACTTTCATGATGCACACCACCTCTTGGCATTTCAATTTTATATTCCTCTAAAATATGTAATCCTAGTCAAAGGTAATTCCTTTCTCAATCATAAGATTACATACAACTGTCAGCAGAAAAACCAAAACAGCATTTATGCATACAGTATCAAAAAAGAGCTTATAAACGTAGTATTACTTTAAATGTTTTTCAAGCAAAAAAAACGAGCTTTCATTGTCATGAATTTCAAGCAATAAGTCATTCGATAATGCTTAGAATTTTGTGGCATTTTTACATTATTACCATACAAGCACAGGAATACCTAAAGCAACAATGCATTGTTAAAACAAATTGGATAATCAGACGGCATTTTCTCATGTTACACCTCAATTTTAAGGGAACGAAGACTTTCAAAGTTCATTAAGCATTTTTCTCCCCATTTCTTAAACACACATGTTCTCTAAAAGATCAGCCAAGAGCGTGGCCAACCATGACAGCACTTGTGCTTGCCAACCTGTGTTCTTTCTTTCCTCCTTGTTCTTAAGATTCTGTACCTAGGTATTTGTACCTAACACAGCACCTTGTGTGGCATCATTATACATTTTTCACTGTACTCCTGTAATTTTTGTACACAAGTACACGTGACAATAAAATCAAATCAAATCTGCTCTGTACTCGGCTAAAAAGATGATTCCAGAACTTAGTTACAGAAGACTTCTCCAATGTATTCTGCAGGCCATTGGATCAAAGATGGCACCTCAGAACTCTCAATTTAGAGAAGTGCATAGTAATTCATTACTCAAGTTAATCTATTCTATTTTTGCATTGGTATAACAAAATATAAAGGGTAGATCAAAAATGAATTAGAAAATTAATTAAATAAATTCAATCTTAAAACTTTGTATAACAGAAATATTTCAGAAAATAAAAGCAGAAGTTGCTGGAAAAGCTCAGCAGGTCTGGAAGCATCTGGGAAGAAAAAAAAAATCAGAGTTAACGTTTTGAGTCCAGTGACACTTCCGCAGAATGGACCCAAAATGTTGACTGATTTTTTTCTTCACAGATGCTGCCAGACCTATTCAGTTTTTCCAGCAACTTCTGTGTTTGTTCCTGATTTACAGCATGCACAGTTCTTTTGGTTTTTATATATGAGGAAATTGCTGTCTTGGTGTATAAATGAAACGTGATTTAAATTGGTGATTAACATTGATTACAATTTGCAGATCTTAACAAATTGATTTTACGGCAGAGACCTTTAATGTGAAAGATCTTGATGCAAGAAGTCACTGAGGTGAAGTTAAGTTCAACTCCAATAGTTTAAACTAAAATAAACTTCAAGCGAAATCCATATTCTAACATTTCATTTCCTCAGTAAGCAGGTGTGTAGCTCATGGTGTTATGCAAAGATTGCTTAGGAATAAAATAAATTGCAATCATAAGTCTATTTACAGATATTAGATTAATTTTAATCTGCAAAAGTCATTTTGAAAAAAAAGAGAACCCTGTTCCTTGTTCAATTGTTTCTATATATGTACCCTGCATTACTTAATCGTAAGAACTAAATATTAATATTTCAATCTAACTACTAAAATCTGATGGTGTAAATTTCAAGGAAAACATGTAAGCTTTTTTACTAAGGTACTAGGAACTGCAGATCTGTGGATTGTGTACTGTACTTACCCCATTCCATTCTACGCCCATACTCACTTCTTCACCTCCATCAGGACCACTCTCATATTTTACCACATCAGCATTTAGACTTTCACGGCTTCTTCTTTTCTCTATGCTTTCAGGATCATTCAGCACTTCAGCTACTCTTTGTTTATGAATATTATCAAGACCCTGTGAACCAAAGGCATTCATTTTACTTGAACGGTTTCCATAATTCAAAAATGCAAACATACACTACGGAAATAAAAATATAAACTTTATTTAAAGGATGCCAGAAACTATTTCAGAGTGTGTTTACTTGAAACATAACATTGTTTGTTTTCACTGGGGAAAACAAACAAATAATCTCAAGAGTACATGGAACTTAAGTGCAATGACAATTCAAACAATATCCTTCTTCTTAAAGTTTATTGTTATAAAGAATAAGTAGATACGTTTTATTCTGATCTCAAACTGTTGTGCATTCAATTCACCATCTTGATATTTGCTAATGTCAGGCTAATATTAGTATGTCTTAAATTATTTAACATTTAGCTTTATGTACTTTGTCAGCACAAAATGTACAACAATGTGCTGCAAAAACCTCAACACCTTCACCACCATCCCTCCAAACTAATTCTGCCATCAATGCAATAAACATGAAAGGCATTGGCCAATTCCTCAAACTTACTTGTTTACGAGATCTCAGAGCTGCTTCTTCCAGTGTTTCAGCTGCTTCAAACTTGCCCTGACGTCTATAAAGTGCCCCAAGGTTCTTTAATGTAGTTGTTACTGTTGGACTGTTTGAAGAGATTGAAGTTAAAACAAAATCAACATTTTAAAACTAAAATAGTCACACATGGAGTGTCAAGTATCTTTAGGTATTTTGCCCTTTAAATTGATTGATACCCACAAAATCAGTGTTCTGCATTTCAACAGAAATTGCTGAAGAATTTAACTTCGATCACAGCTCAGAAACAGATCATATCCTCGTACCCAGTCCAATTCCATACTAATCTATCCAGATATAGTCAGAGAATAACCCGCAATGGCTTCTCTTCCACTGCCTATCTCCCAGGGACGTTTTCCTGGCAGCCTTTTTCTCACCTGTGTGCTTATCCTCAGCAACATCATCCGAAGATACATACACTAACACCACCAGCCCTAACTCACCACAACCAGTCTATTGTCTCTGATTTGTTATATTATTCGCTTGACATTTATTACTGTATGAGCAAGAATTTCCTACAATGAAATATTGTGAAAAAACTTAAGACAACATCCTCAGGGCTTCAAACTGTCAGGGTGGGGAGGGAAGGGGAGACAAAAAGAGGACAAGGGTTCAATTGAAGGAAAGTTTTAAAAAAATCAGAAAGGAAGAGAGCAGAGATGCAGAGCAGAGAGCGAGGGTGAACAATAATCAAAGTGCAACAGAAGGGACAAAAAGTACAAACTGAAATGTGCAGAGCAAATTAGATCCAGAATTAGGGGAAGCGATGACTTTGTGGCATTATCGCTAGACTATTAATCCAGAAACTTAGCTAATGTTCTGGGGACATAAGCTCGCATCCCACATTGGCAAATGGTGGGATTTTAATTCAATAATAAAACAAGACAAAATCTGGAATTAAGATTCGACCATGAAACCGTTGTCAATTGTCGGAAAAACCCAACTGGCACACTAATGTCCTTCAGGGAGGGAAAAGTGCCATCCTCACCTAGCCTACATATGGCTCCAGACCCACAGCAATGTGGTTGACTCTCAACCGCCCTCTCAAATGGCCTAGAAAGCCAAGTCTTGACAAAGTATGAAATAGGACAGTCCATTTGGAATTGACCTAGGTAAGGGCAGAAATAGCCATATCAACTCTCCGAAGTCCTATTTACTAAAATCTGGGGCCAGCACCAAAACACAGTCATACTCAAGGATTCATATCTTACAGACAACATCCCAGACACCCACCATTACTATCCCTGGACATGTCCTGTCCCACCAGCAGGACAGACCCAGCAGAGGTGCTGACACACTGGTGTGCAATCAGGACGAAATTGTCCTGGAAGTCCTCAACAACAATTCCAAACCCCATGAAGTCTCAGGGTTTCAGGTTAGAGATGGGCAAAGAAACCTCCTGCTGATTACCATGTACTGTCCTCCATCAATTGAGGAATCAGTACAACTCCATGTTGAACAACACTTGGAGGAAGCGCTGAGGTAGCAAGGGTGCAATTTGTACGCTGGGTGGGAGATTTCAATGTCCACCACGAAGAGTAGCTCGGCAACAGCACTACAGATCAAGCTGGTTGGATCCTAAAGGACATAGGTGCTAGACTGGGTCTGTGGCATGAGGTGAGGGACCAACAAGACGGAAGAACATATTTGACCTGATCCTTAATAACCCTTGCCGGCTGCAGATACATCTATCCATCACAGTATTGGTAAGAGTGACCACTGCCAAGTTATTGTAGGGATGAAGTCTCACCTTCACATTAAGAATACCCGCCATTGTGCTGTGTGGCACTTTCAGCTAAATGGGACAGATTTCGAACAGATCTCGAACAGATCTAGCAACTCAAAACTGGGCCTCTATGGAGGTGGTGTGGACCATCAACAGCAGCAGAATTGTACTCCAGTACTCCTGCAATCTGATCACCCAGCATATCCCGCAATCAACCAGTACCATCAAGCCAGGGACCAACCCTGGCTCAAAGCGCAGGAGGGCATGACAGGAGCATCACTAGGCACACCAATAGATGAGATGACAACCTGGTGAAGGTACCAAATAGGACTACTTGCATCCAAACAGCTTAAGCAGCAAGTGACAGACAAAACGAAGAGATCCCACAACCAACAGATCAAATTTAAGCCCTGCAGTCCTACCACACTCAGTTGTAAATGGTGGTGGACACCAATGGAGGAGGCTCCACAAATATCTGCATCCTTGATGATGGAAGCACCCAACTCTTCAGTGCAAAGGCAAGGCCGAGGCATCCTCAGCATTCTTTGGCAAGAAGTGCTGATGATCCAAAGCGGACTCCTTCAGTGGTCCCGATCATCACAGATGCCAGTCTTCAGCCAATTCAATCCATTCCATATGAAATCAAATGAGAGTTGGAGGCACTAGATATTGTAAAGTCTACAGGACTTGACAACATTCTGGCAATAGTCCCAACAACCTAAGCTCCAAAACTTGCCAGTTTCCTAGCCAAGCTCTTCAGTAATGTTGCAACAGGGGCATCTATCCGAAACGTGATAAATTGACCAGGTATTTCCTGTAGACAAAAGCAGACAAATCCAACTCAGCTAATTACTGCCACATTATTCTACTCTCAATCATCAGTAACATGATGGAAGATGTCATCAACAGTGCTTTCAAGCAGTACTTGCTCAGTGTTGCCAGTTTGGATTCTGCCAGGATCACTCAGTTCCTGACCTCATTACAGCCTTGGTGCAAACGTGGACAAAAGCACTGAATTCCAGAGGTGAGAATGACAGCCCTTGACATCAAGGTTGCATTCAACCAAGCGAAGCATCAAGACAATCAAGCAAAACTGAAATCAATGGATATCACAGGGAAAATTCTCCGCTGGTTGGAGTCATATCTGGTACGTAGGAAAATGGTTACAGTTGTTGGAGGTCAGTCATCTCAGCTCCAGGACATCTTTGTAGGAGTTCCTCAGGGTAATATCCCAGGCCCAACCATCTTCAGCTGCTTCATCAATGACCTTCCATCAACCATAAGGCGGTTGACATAAGTGGGGACATTCAGCACCATTCACAACTTCTCAGAAACACTCTGAAACAGTCATGTTCAAACACAATAAGATTTGGACAATATCACGGCTTGAGCTAACAAGTGGCAAGTACCATTTGAATTGAACTGAATCATTTATTGTCACGTGTATTCAATATAAAAATACAGTGAAAAGTGTGTACCTTTGCTGCATATACATGGCACCATTACATTAACTTAGAATAAGATAAGAAAAAAACATAACTTGAGAGTCCAACTTTCCTTTTCACATCCCCCACCAGAGTCCCGCTCCAGGCTTTCCAGCCATTGCCATTCCTTATATGCCATGCACCACACAAATTCCAGGAAATGACTATTTATAATAAAAGACAATTAACCACTTGCCCCTTGACATTCAATGGTATTATCATCATTGAATTTCCACACAATATCAATATCCTTGGGGTTACCATTGACCAGAAACTCAACTAGACTCACCACATAAACTCAGTGGCTACAACAGCAGATCAGAGGCTAGGAATACTGCAGCAAGTAACTAATTTCCTGACTCCCCAAAGTCACAAGTCAGAATATTCACCTGCCTGGATAAGTGCAGGTCCAACACTCAAGACATTTAACTCCATTCCGGACAAAGAAGCCCACTTGATCACATCCAAAAAGCATTCACTCCCTCCACAAGTGACACTCAAGTAGCACCAGTGTGTACTACCTACAAGATACACCGCAGAAATTCACCAAAAATCATTAGCCAGAATCTTCTAATTCCACAACCACTTCCAACTCGGAGAACAAGGGCAGTAGATACATGGTAATACCACCTGCAAGACCCCCCACAAGCCATTCACCATCCTGACTTGGAATATAATGTCGTTCCTTCCGTGTTGCTAAGTTAAAATCCTAAGAGCATTGAGGGTCAACCTACAGCACGTGGACTGCAGCAGTTTAACAAGGCAGCTCTCCACCATCTTCTCAATGGCAATTAGGGACAGAAAACAAATGCTGGCTGGTGAGCCAGCGACGCCCATGTCCCACAAGTGAATAATGAAATGTTACAATGGTTTGAAAAGCCAAAGCTTAAGGTTTGTTATCTGAATGTCTGCAGCATTTGTAACAAGATACTTGAGTTGATGGCACAAATAGAAAGAAATAAAGATGACTTAATGGCAATTGCAGAGACATGAATGCAGGATGATCAGGAGTAGGAACTTATGTTATTCAACATTCCGGAAAAATAGTTAATAAAAAAAAAAGGAGGTGGAGTAGCGTTACTAATTAAAGCAGGCATCAATGCAGTGGTGAGTAGTGATATAAGTATAATAGATTGAGATGTGGAATCATAGGACACCAAGTAAAAATCAGGAAATAATGGAGGCATGAAAGAAAGGCACTATAATTGTCATGGGTAATTTCAGTTTGCATAGGGGTAGGCAGAAACCCAGAAACCTAACTAATGTTCTGGGGACCGGGGTTTGAATCCCACCATGGCAGAAGGTGGAATTTGAATTCAAAAAGAGAATCTGGAATTAAGAATCTACTGATCACTATGTAATCATTGCCAATTGTCAGAAAAAGCCATGTGGTTCACTAATGTCCTTCAGGGGAGGAAATCTGCCACTCTCACCTGGTCTGGCCGACATGTGACTCCAGACTCACAGCAATGTTGGTTGACTCTGAACTACCCTCTAAAATGGCCTAGCAAGCCATTCAGATGTACCAATCGCTACAAAGTCTCAAAGAAATGAAACTGGATGGATCACCTGGCATTGACCTAGGCACCGGAAAAGACAACGGCAGAAACAGCCCCGTCAACCCTGCAAAGTCCTCCTCACTAACATCTGGGGGTTAGTGCCAAAATTGGGACAGCTGTCTCACAGACGAGTTAAGCAACAGCCTGACACAGACATACTCACAGAATCATACCTTACAGACAATGTCCCAGACACCACTATCACCATCCCTGGGTATGTCCTGTCCCACCGGCAGGACAGACCCAGCAGAGGTGTCGGCACAGTGGTATACAGTCAGGAGTGTGTTGCGCTAGGAGTCCT